TCTAATGTTGTATCATAATTTACAGAGGGATGACCTGATTTGCGTGGCTTTTCAACCGTTCCAGTTTCTCGAAATTTCTTTTCAATCTTACTTACTGTTGACTACGTTATGGGTTTTTCTGGATATTTATTATTAAATTTGTTAAAATCCTTTATAAAAGGTATATAAAATTGCCTCAAACGGGCTATCACAAACACATTGCAAAACGTTTTCGGATTAAACAATCCATCATCAGTGCAAACGGTTGTACATGCTAGTAGCCACCAAAATATACGGGTAAAAACCCTTTAAATGTTATAAATTTGAAATTGTTTTACATTATTAGTGTTTCTAATTTGTGATGGTTAAGTTACCGTTGGATAGGTAACATGGCGGCGTATGACTCTACATGAGTAAAATGGTCCTGAGACGAAGTGCCTACGAGGACCTGTTGATAACAACTGTTGTTATCAACAGTTCCTCGTAGGCACTTCGTCTCAGGACCATTTTACTCATGTAGAGTCATACGCCGCCATGTTACCTATCCAACGGTAACTTAACCATCACAAATTAGAAACACTAATAATGTAAAACAATTTCAAATTTATAACATTTAAAGGGTTTTTACCCGTATATTTTGGTGGCTACTAGCATGTACAACCGTTTGCACTGATGATGGATTGTTTAATCCGAAAACGTTTTGCAATGTGTTTGTGATAGCCCGTTTGAGGCAATTTTATATACCTTTTATAAAGGATTTTAACAAATTTTTTTGTGATATATGTTATACAGCCAGCTACAGGAACTTAGTTTCCTCGTGGAATTTTATTTATTATTAAATAAATCACACACTTTCATCTGAGTTTGTGATTTGTCTCCATACCCAATGATCATGATAATTTCAATTCATTGCTTTACACTCAAATTCATTTCTACTTCAAATTAATTCTAAGCAATAATACAGAACATTCGCGAATTAATACAATTATTGTACTACTTAATTATTATTGAACGTTACTAAAAATAATTACATTTCACTAAAAACTAATAGTAGGCTACTTTTTTGCAATTGATAATAAATAATTTATTTTCTAAGCGCATATTTTTTAATAGTTCCTTTAGACCCCGAGTATTATACTTTTTTGGAATTAGCTCATTTTTATCGATCTTAAAATGTCATACAATAGAGAGTGTTATATTAAAAAAAAGAGCCGATGAAGTCATCACGTTAATGCGTATCACCTTTTATAATGAAATTTTGTTGTAGAATGTAGAACATTAAACTTCGACATTAAACATTAAAAATCGACGTGTCTTAGATTTTTTTAAAAAGGCTTTTCATTTAAGAAATATCGAATTTATTCCATACTTTACGGACACACTGTATACTACATTATACGAAGATGTATATGCAAGGGTAGCACTCTACACCCAAAAATTTGGTACCGCACCACAAGCAGATAATAATAATACAAAACTTTTTGTGTCAAAGATACCGGAAAGTCGAATCGTTCAACAAAATGTTTATTTTTTCTAATTATGGAATATTATTCTACTGTTACTACAAATAATAAAACTAAAATGCAACAAATGAATATCTTTCCAACAATGGTAACATGCAAAATTAATGTGTGTGTGTGTGCTGTTGGTTTCTTTTGACCGTGGATTTAATCCGTTATCCGAACTAAAATTACTCTTATAAGTTATCTCTTATACTCATTATATTTATCAATATTTATAATCTATTTGATAATAATGATTTACAATATTAATTCACAGATATATTATACAGGTACCTACATATATATTTTAGTGAGCGGTAGGTTTAGGTCCTCACCTGTGTGTGTGTGTGTGTGTGTGTGTGTGTGTGTGTGTGTGTGTGTGTGTGTGTGTGTGTGTGTGTGTGTGTGTGTGTGTGTGTGTGTGTGTGTGTGTGTGTGTGTGTGTGTGTGTGTGTGTGTGTGTGTGCGTGTGTGCAGGTGTGTGCGTGTGTTTTTTTAAAAAAAATTTATTTATTCTTTTTTTTAATTATTTATTTATTTTTTTATTTATAATAATAATGTGTTTAATTAGGATCTCATAGATACTTTTATCTTTAGTAGCAATCAAAGCTTGTAGATTAAAAGGTTTTCTTATATATTGTGTAATATAAATTTGATCTATAAAATATTATATTTCTTTTTTTTTTTAATTTATAATTTAATATCATATGTTCTGCGGATCCTAATTCTCCACATTTACAACAGTTTCTCTTTGGCAGTCCTATTTTATGTTTATGTTGCGGAACTAAGGAGTGGCCAAGCCTAAGTCTACATATATATATATATATATATATATATATATATATATATATATATATATATATATATATATATAAGGACCTTGTTGCCTTACTAGTCACTATACCAGGTTTTAGATAGGATCTCTGTTTGGATAGTTTAGTCCCTTTTTAGAATTTATTAATATAAGCATAGACGCCATTTAGTGTTAACTTATAGGTATTCATAGTTAATATATATTTCTGTAGCATTCTTTGCTAGTTTGTCTACAATTTCATTATTTTTTAAATTGCAATATTGCAAATTGATTTTATCCAGCAGAATGATATTTTTTTACTTTTGGATTTGAGTCCAATAAAGTTTTTTATTATTTCTATAATGATATTGTAATTTTCTGTCCACTTCCCCAATTTAGTTAGAGCACTTTTTCTATTAAAGTATCAAGAATCTATCATTATTGGTGATCGTTGTTATGTACTACATTGCTCTTAATATTGCTATTAGTTTTCCTGTAAATACTGTGGTATCGGCAGGGATGCCTCTTGTCACCCCTGCTTTTTAACATTTACTCCGAAAGAATTTTCAGAAAAACACTTTCTGAAAAACAAGAAGGAATACTTGTGAACGGCGAAGTCATCAATAATTTGCGATATGCGGACGATACAGTACTCCTAGCTTCTAGTCAAGAAGATCTGCAAACACTACTTGATAGTGTCGTTGAGAGTTGTAGGGAGGCAGGTCTGGATCTTAACATAAGGAAAACCAAAATACTCGTAATAAGTAAACAACAGAATATAAAACCGTCTATATATGTAAATAATACCAAACTTGAGCAAGTTGATAAAATCGTCTACCTTGGACAGCGATTAAATTGTAATGCAGAAAATCACGGCGAAATTAGATCCAGAATAGAGCAGGCTAGAGCTGATTTTAGAAGGATGTCCAAGGTGTTATGTAACAGAGACCTAAAATTGGCATTAATTAAGGATCCGCCTACTTCGCTGCTACGTATTCTCGGTCTTACTTTATGCTGTCGAGTCCTGGACTGTGAATAAAATCGATCTAAATCGCCTTGAGGCTTTCGAAATGTGGTGCTATAGAAGAATTTTAAAAGTTTCCTGGGTGGAGAAGATTCGTAACTCCACAGTACTAGAACGTCTCAGCAAGACTACTGAGATCATAAAAAGCATCAAGCAGAGAAAGCTGGAATATTTCGGACATGTAATGAGAGGTCCCAAATATAGATTGCTACAAAATATCATGCAAGGAAAAATAGCAAACGTAGTCCAGGACGAAGAAGAACCTCACGGTTGAAGAACTTGCGAGATTGGTATGGTGTAGATACAAGCATGCTATTTAGGGTGGCAGTGAATAAAATTAAAATAGCTATGATGGTAACCAACGTTCTGAAAGGACATGGTACATGAAGAAGAAGAAGACCGTGGTATCTAGACCTATTCCTTCTCTGTATTGTGTTTTAGGGTCCCATATATCAGCACCAACTTTAGAGTTAATATTTGAGGCATCTGTATAAATTTGGTAATATTTTGGGCGTAGTATTTCTATATCTGTATTGAATATAGAGTTCCTTAGATTCGCTGGGAAATTCGAAAAATCTCTGTTGATGCAAAATTAAGTATATAAACCAGTGGTCGCCAACCTGTCGATCGCGAACTACCGGTAGCTCACGGAGGCAATTCTGGTAGCTCTTACAACGATTTTAATTTAAAAAATACAAACTGCAAAAATCAGAGAAGCTTTCGAAAATTCCACAAAAAAATCTAATTGTCATAATATTAAACATAAACAGTGGCAACGTTGCGGTGAGCGATCTGCCCCTGACGCCATCAAGCTAGAATCGGCTATTTATAGAACCGACCAGCCGGACCAGCGCGTTAGTGTTCGAGAACGATCTGGATTGCTTTGAACGGGATAAATACGCACGGCGCGGCGACATTGTGCTTAGTTTAAAACTGAACGCGTAACCAACGTCCAGCGGTTGGGTTAGTAGAGAACAACAAAAATTATATTATGGCAAGCAGTTGTAACAAAGCAAAGACATACCACTTTCATTCGGAATGGGAAGAACAATACTTTTTTACAGAAGTTAAAGATAAAAATGTGTGTTTGTTATGTAATACTTCGGTCTCCGTTGCTAAAAAAGGAAATATTGAGAGAGATATCATAAAATTGTACATTCTAATTTTGAAAAATCATTCCCACTATATTCTCCCGCCAGAAAGGACAAACTGAAACAGTTAAAAAAACAGTTAATTGGCAACAATCAATATTTTTAAGAAAAGTCGACAAAAATAAGGCTGCAACTGAAGCATCGTACCGTGTGTCCCAGATAATTGCACAAAAAAGAAACCTTATGAAGACGGGGAAATGATAAAACAGGCGTTTTTAGAAGCTGCTGATTCGTTATTTGCCAACTTTAGAAATAAAGGCGAGATAGTTTCAGCTATAAAATCTATGCAACTTTCTGCTAATACAGTGATGAGACGTGTAGAAGTAATGAGCAATGGTATTTTTTTACAGTTAAGAACTGACTTAGATAACTGTGTTTATTTTTCACTTCAACTGGATGAATCAACAGATGTCGTTGACACTGCCCAGATGGCCGTGTTGGTCAGGATGGTTTTTAGTTTTCAGGATAAAACTTTTCCGCAATTTCTCTGTTACCACTGCATTATCCATCAGCAAGCATTATGTGGAAATTTCCTGAAACTAAACAACGTTATGAAACTGGTGGTAAAAATTGTGAACAAGATTAGAGCTCAAGCGTTACAAAGAAGATTATTCAGAACCTTGGCCAATGAGGTTGACTGTCAATACGGGGACCTACTCCTTCACTCTGAAGTCCGATGGTTAAGTAGAGGACGGTTGCTGAAACGTTTTAATGATGTCCTATCTGGCATAGTTCAATTTTTCAAACAACCCGATGAACCGACTCCGGAATTAGAAAATTCAATCTGGCTTAGAGATTTTGGTTTTCTCGTGGACATTACAGAGAAATTAAACGAACTTAATTTGCAGCTCCAGGGGAGAGACAAAGAACTAGCGGAAATGATTTCTGATATAAAAGCATTTATCAAAAAGCTGGAGTTTTGGGAACAAAACGTAATTAACAGCGATTCCAAGCATTTTCCTATTCTTTCAGAAAAAATATCTCAAAATCCATTAGAACCCCATGACAACAAATATCATGTAGAAGTAATTGCTACCCTGAAGAGTAACTTCAAAAGTCGTTTTAAGAATTACAATGAAATGGCTTTAGTAGCGCAGTTTGTTGTTTCACCCTTTATGGGAATTGATATCCAGCAGTTTGCAGCGTGTGTTATGCAGAACTATGGCGAAGACATCGCTGCAACAGAAATGGAAGTCATTGAGTTTAAAAATGATTTAGCCTTAAAATTGTTAGTCTCAAGTACTGAACGTATCTGGCCTATTGTAAGTAAAGACAAATATTCAGTTCTATGCCGTGTTGCCTTGAAAGTGAAAGCATTATTCAGTTCAACCTATTTGTGTGAATCTTCTTTTTCCAATATGAAGTTTATTAAGAACAAATATCGCAATCGACTTACAGATGAACATTTGGATAATTGTATTTGAATGGCTGCATCAAATTATACTGCAAACATTAAAAAAATTATCGATCAGTCTGAGTTTCCGCCTTCTCATTGAACGTGCTTTTTTATTTTTCAATGTTTATGTTTACGATAGTACATTATTTTTTTGTTGTTATTATTAACTATTTTTAAATTATACGTGACATGTCGCTCTGGCTAGATAAAAGTTTGTGTTTATTTTTCAAATACCTTCGTTTGATAGGTAGGAATGTAGCTATGAACAAGTACGTACTAGTAATATTAGTTATTTTGTTATTAGTTTATTATTACTACCTGTGTATTATGTATTACCAGTTAAACAGTAAAATAAATACATATAATGATAGATTAACTTTGGATTATTTCATTTACGTTGCGTTACGTGGCTTCCGTGTGGGTAGCTCGCTGTTTATTCCAAAATTAACAAAGTAGCTCAACACATTGAAGAGGTTGGCGACCACTGATATAAACCATTTAATTTATCCAATTCTATTTTATAGAACGTCGCGCGTCATGCAATCATGATTATTGTGAGATATTCAGCAATTTTTGTAGTTCATTTGTTTTATTTTGAATTGTTTAGACATTTTTAACATTCCTCGATTGTCAGTCCAATAAAAGCAACAATTATATATATATATATATATATATATATATATATATATATATATATATATATATATATATATATATATATATAATGGAAAAGGTTAATGCGAGTGAATAATAAAAGTAAAAAGTAATGGCATGTCTCGCAAAACAAAAAACCAAAAATGGTATATCGATGGAAGGCAACCGTATATACGCATTTCTGACTATTGGTCGTCTTCAGTACGACATGCCATTACTTTTTACTTTTATTATTCACTCACATTATCCTTTTCTATTTGTTTTAAACGTTTTAACGTTTGGCATTCCTTTCCCCAGATAGCTGTAGCTTTCTCCGTGGTTGGTGTTGGTTGTTGCCCTGGAAACCATCAGTGTCTTCTAACTCTAATGCCACAAATTGGTTGCATTGCTTCTGTAGTGATCCTTTCCCAAGTTAATATGCTCCTTTTCGAATTTGGCTGTACCGTACTGAAGACGACCAATAGTCAGAAATACGTATATACGGTTGCCTTCCATCGATTTTTGGTTTTTTGTTTTGCGAGACATGCCATTATTTTTTACTTATATATATATATATATATATATATATATATATATATATATATATATATATATATATATATATACAGATTGAACCAAATTAAAACGGAACATACAATTTAATACATGTCTGTTTGAACTGCATTTGAAATAGTGGACCAATATAAAACTTGGACAAAAATAAATCCATACCTGGGTATAGACATTGTATAAAATATCGTTCAACTATCTGTCTCGCAACAAAGTTGTTTGCGTAAGACGGGTTTGTCTAAGGAGGCGATAATAGTTCAGGAAGTGAAGCTCGAAAAAAGTTAAAACCTCGCAATTTTTTCGTACTGCATGTATCCAGTTGAAATTTTAGCAGAAGGTAGGTAATAGCCCGAGGATCAAAATCTATATCGAACCGAAGTGCGCTGAAGAGTTTTAGGGGTGAAAACTACCCCTAATTGTCAAAAATTATAAAATAACATATTAAACCTGAATATGGGTAAGATTTGGTTTGAATTAGTTAAATAATGATTATTTTATACTTTTGAATAGAGTTCCATCATATTTCAACCCTTAAAAAGCAACCCTTGTTAGAGATTAATGTAAAAAATTACTAATTCTAAAAAAATGATTTCGCCTTGGATTGATTTGGATAAAAATTTGGATTTAAGCTCAATTCACCCGCTGCTTTATAGTTTATGTCATGTCGATGAACCCTGATTGTTCTTAGGGGTGAGAACTACCCCTAATTGTCAAAAATTATAAAATAACATATTAAACCTGAATATGGGTAAAATTTGGTTTGAATTAATTAAATAATGATAGTTTCGTGCTTTTGAATAAAGTTCCATCATATTTCAACCCTTAAAAAGCGACCCTTATTAGAGATTAATATAAAAAAATTAGTAATGCGAAGAAAATGATTTCACCTTGGAACGATTTGCATAAAAATTTGGAATTAAGCTCAACTCACATTCTGCTTTATAGTTTATGTCATGCCGATGAACCTTAATTGTTCTTAGGGGTGAAAACTACCCTTAATTTTAAAAAATTGTAAAATAATATTACAAATCTTAAGATGAGTGAAATTTGGTTTGGATTAGTTAAATAGTGAGTTTTTATACTTTAAAATACAAATTCATACATTTTCAACCCTTAAAAATCAATTGTTATGAGTGCTATAGGTGAAAACAATTTTTTGACAAAATTTTGCAACTTTTCAACTTTTGAAAATCACCCTTTACAACATTGCAGTTTTTATAAACTAATTTATAAGATATAAATTGAAAAAAGTAGAATTAAATACAAAAAAAATTATCAACATAAAAAGGCACCATATATTCTTATACATTTACATAAATAGTTGAAAATATTTACATTTATAGGTAAAACAATTATAATATTAATTTTATTCGTCATCAATTACATCTTCATCGTGATCAATGTCATCCTCATCTTCTTCAATTATTGGTGGACTGTTATTGCACCCTTCACCTGAGCACCCAGAACAAGTAGAGTTACAGTATAAACCAACTTTTCTGCACCCATATGAAACGCCGCATCTTTTTTTGCATTGGCAAAAAATAATTTTCAAAAATTTATCGGTTGCAGGTTGTTTGTTCATACGTACGGGTAATAACAAACCATCTTTGGAATACCATCCCCAATCTGTTGCTCTGATATTTTCATTGCCAAGCCATAGACATATGAGCAGATGTTTTATTCTGTTGTATGGGATTTCAAAATAAGAACGCTTAAAATTTCGAATGTATAACGCCCCACTAGCTAATATACCGATTTTGTAGATTATTATGCTCCGAAATGTACTGTACTATACTAATGGAATTTTCCGGAAAAAAATTAACTGGTTTTTTTAACGTATTTCCTTTAATTTTTAACGATAGAGTGTTTCTTCAAAAACAATTTGTAGAGGTTTTTAATAGCTACAAGGATCTGTAAATTAAATCTTTTTGGAACCCTTGGTTTTTAAATGGGGTGAGTTTAAAGGGCTTGAAAAAGATGGTGCTTGATCGTAAATCGATGCTTTAAACGGCTATATCTCGCCAAATATTCATTGTACAACAAATCTAAATAAAGGATAATTTTAGTCATTAAAAAAGCTACAATTTGGTTATTTTTATTTTTTTTTCATATATTCAGTATTTTCGGGGATATTTAAAAAAAGAAGGGTAAAAAATACGAAATTGTAAATCGTTTCTCGCTTTAAGCTGTACTTTTTCTAAAACTAAGCATTTTAAATGGGTCAAACTTCTTGGACGTATTAACAATACATCTACAAAGGGAATTGCAGAAGGGTGAAGATCGATTTTAATTATGGGGGTGGTTAGGGTGTTGTTTTCCTCGATTTTTTCGTAAAAAATGAGGTATTGACCTTATTTTTTTATGATAGGTCTATTTATGCTCTTTAAAAAAGGTTTTGTGAGTTTTCTTCCAAAAATGCATCATTTTCCCGATATTTGACTTTGAATCTTTCAAATTTGGCATTTGAAGAAAACCGCTGAACATTGATATTGTATTTGTAATTGTATTTGTCTTTTTAAAAGCTACAAATTTGTTCTCTACAATTTTTTTGATAAAATGCACCATTTTCGAGTTATTCGCGAAAAATCGATTAAAAACGTGGATTTTTTCGTCTAAAAGTTGTTACTTTCAATCGCGAATAACTTGAAAAATATCATTTTATAAAATAAATGTATAGCACATTTTTTGTTTAGAATCACTTTTCTAATCGAAACCTGTAGTTAAAACGTAAAAAAAAATTCACCCCAGAGATGGGGTGGCAACCACCCCCTAGGCCTTGGCGCACTTTGGTTCGATATAGATTTTGATCCTTAGGCTATTACCTACCTTCTGTTAAATTTCAAGTCAATCCACACCGCACGAAAAAATTGCGAGGTGAAATGCTACATTTCCTGGACTACAACTGGTTTGACAGCATAATAAAATCGTAGATTTATGTGTAGCTTTCAATTTTTATGAGTTCAGAATCCAGCAGCCCGCTGAAGTATGGGATTTTTTATAATATAATTATTTGACAATCTTTTGTTGGCCAACCAGCTACAGCAGAATTGAGCCGAAATACATTATATTCCTATGTTCCGAATTTATTTCGTTCAATCTGTATATATATATATATATATATATATATATATATAGATATATATATATATATATATATATATATATATATATATATATAAATATATATATATATATATATATATATATATATATATATATATATAAGAATATAAGAAATTCAATATTTCGTTATTTACTTAATAGCTTTATCAGGAGTACACTTTAAACAATTTCAAATAAAATTACTTCAAATGTAAAAATAAATATAACAACAAAAGACACCTTAGAAGAATGATATTTCTTTGATGAATTATTAAGGTTAGTTGTTATTAAGCTGAATATTAGATATTTTCAATATTTATAAATTTTGTTCAATATATTACAATATTATGTTACTGTCCAGTGTCCGTTTTATAATTTAAAGTGTTTTTATTTTTTTAATGTGATAAATCTCAAGAAATAATCTACTTTTGGAGTTATCAGCCTGTGCCAAAATGTGAGCTTTATTATAGTCTAGCATATGACCTGTGTTTTCATAGGCTCAACTATTGCGCAATTATTTTTTGTTAAGCAGTAATCACTTTTATGTTGTGTGACGCTGAACAATGTAAGAGTTCCTAGACATGCTATAATTGCAAATGCTTCAACTATTGAGCTGTATAGCGTCTTTGACGCCAGCGAAGCACCATATGGTGGCGACATCTATGTTCGAAGTGTTGATCAACAATGTAATATATCGGTGCGTCTCTTCTCTGTCAAGACAAGAGTATCTCCTCTTAAGAAAATCAGCCTTCCTCGGTTTGAACTTTGTGGAGCCTTGATATTGTCACGACTAGTGAACAAAGTCACAGAATCGCTCAGTCGTTACCTTCATGATATTATTCTCTGGACAGATTTCACTATTATCTTAAGTTAGATCAGAGTCTCGCCACATATTCTTAAAACTTTCTTGGCTAATAGGGTGTCTGAAATTCAATGCAAAACTTCGTCAAGTGTTTGGAGACATGTCGGTACCAAGAATGGTCTCTGCTGATTATTGTCTCGAGTTGTGGAACCCAATCGATGTCATCAACAATTTGATGATACGTTCCTTCCTTCCTCATGGAATCTCCTGATAATTGACCAGTCCTAGGGTATTCAGCCTGAGCAAGATCTTTTTGAGGCTAAGAAAGATATCCATTTTTTGGTGCCAAGCTTCGCACCAATCCTTTCCGTTTACAGTGATTTCTTGTTTCTCACAAGAGCCATTGCTCGTTGCTTGCGCCTCTTCCGAAACAGCTCAGCTTCAAAAGGCATGGATTCCGGTTCTTTAATCACCACAGAGGTTCAAGCCTCTGTCACATTTATTGCAAAGATGGTTCAAGCAAAGATATTTCCAAAGGAACTTCAGATCCTTTCCAAGGGAAAATCGCTCTCTTCTAAGAGTAAAATCCGCTCTTTAAATCCTTTTCTGTATAATAATAATGTAATCAGAGTAGGCAATTCTAACTACTTTTTAATAAAAGGGATCGAATAATACTCCTCACTGCCGATCATCCTGTTTTTTCGGTAGCTCACGGAGGCAATTCTGGTAGCTCTCACAACGATTTTAATTCAAAAAATACAAACTGCAAAAATCAGAGAAGCTTTCGAAAATTCCACAAAAAAATCTAATTGTCATAATATTTAACATAAACAGTGGCAACGTTGCGGTGAGCGATCTGCCCCTGACGCCATCAAGCTAGAATCGGCTATTTATAGAACCGACCAGCCGGACCAGCGCGTTAGTGTTCGAGAACGATCTGGATTGCTTTGAACGGGATAAATACGCACGGCGCGGCGACATTTTGCTTAGTTTAAAACTGAACGCGTAACCAACGTCCAGCGGTTGGGTTAGTAGAGAACAACAAAAATAATATTATGTCAAGCAGTTGTAACAAAGCAAAGACATACCACTTTCATTCGGAATGGGAAGAACAATACTTTTTTACAGAAGTTAAAGATAAAAATGTGTGTTTGTTATGTAATACTTCGGTCTCCGTTGCTAAAAAAGGAAATATTGAGAGAGATATCATAAAATTGTACATTCTAATTTTGAAAAATCATTCCCACTATATTCTGCCGCCAGAAAGGAGAAACTGAAACAGTTAAAAAAACAGCTCAGCTTCAAAAGGCATGGATTCCGGTTCTTTAATCACCACAGAGGTTCAAGCCTCTGTCACATGTATTGCAAAGATGGTTCAAGCAGAGATATTTCCAAAGGAACATCACATCCTTTCCAAGGGAAAATCGCTCTCTTCTAAGAGTAAAATCCGCTCTTTAAATCCTTTTCTGTATAATAATAACGTAATCAGAGTAGGCAATTCTAACTACTTTTTAGTAAAAGGGATCGAATAATACTCCTCACTGCCGATCATCCTGTTTTTTCGGTCGTAATATCTCAGATTGTAGCACGTCGGTCTTCAGTATTTATTGTGTGACGTTCGTGGACGTTTTTGGCCTATTTTATGCAGATCCATTGTGAAACAGTTTGTTCGTCAATATATACCCGGTTTTCGTGCCAATCCTCCTCAGTGTATACCCATGATGAGAGATCTTCCTGTATTTAGATGACCTAAATCCATCGTTTCCCTTTGCAATCACGGAAGTGGGCTACGCAGGCCCATTCATTCTTAAAACAAGACAAGGTTTGATAATGTCGTGTAGTCTTTATAAAGTTCCAATTTGATTATATAATGTCCGTGACCATAACCATATTTAGTGGAATGTTTTTTTATTGCCTTGTAGAACATCTACTGTATTGCCTGAGCACGTACGGAACAGTGTATATAATCTACGCAGGTTATTATATGGAGGTAATGACAAAGTTTTAAATATTAAACTAGATAAATTAATTAATGAGAGTCATAAAAAAATTAAATTTAGAAATAAAGATAACTTGTAATAATGTTTCATATGCGATCTTCATCATCATCAATGGTGCTACAGCCCTATGAAATATCCATTCCAGTCCTATCCATTGCCAGTTTGCTGCGAATATCTTTCTACCATCCTCATCTATACCATCCTTCCATCTGAGTTTCAAATGCGATGAATTATATTAATAAGATTAAGTGTGAGTTGCAGTAGTTTGTTCCTACTAACATATTAACCGAATATGAACTAAGGTTAAAAAATAGTTTTTCAAATGTTTTTAACAAAGTGAAACTTACTAACATAAAAATATTCAAAAACAGCTAACTAATAACTTATTTATCAACTATTTATTTTTAAACAATGACAAATGGTTCAAAAACTTGTCCAGCGTTAACTTTCCAAAAGAAGTGTCTGATTTTCTCTCTCGGTCCAAAATTTAGTGTTGAGTGTACACCCCCAGATTTTAAGTTAGATATTTTTTTGGCTGATGTAGAAAATATCATCGATGAGGTGACACTTGAATCTAAGGATATTCTTAGGGCACAAGTAACACATGTAGTAACTAATTACTTACAGAATTCAAAATCTAAACCTCCCACAACAATGAACAAAATGTTTAAATATGTAAAACAGTATTTAAAGTTACATTCAGACATATACATTTTACAATCTGACAAAGGTGG